CCATACAAAAAAAAATGTACACGTTTTTAAATAGAGTTGCTCCCGATTAGTATCTTTCCCTTGATTGTGATAACAGCTTATAAAAATAGAACTATGTATTAAAAATATAAAGAGCTATTCTCATCTGGAATGGATTCTATTCATGCTACTCGTACTTGTGGCGTCTCTTCGAAGTTTTCGTCCTTAATTTGCACTATTATAAAGAATATTTTGTTCACTTTTCAAGTGTTTTCTGCTAACCTTTTTGGACATATTTGTTATATATAAATAAATATTTATATATACGTGGGCGTATCATTTTTTAGGGATCAATTAAATATTACCTATCATTTCGCTGCTACACTTCCTGAAAAGTGATAAAAGGAATAGAGCTTTTTTTGTAAGTGGATAACTACACACTCAACTTTACCCTCATTTTTTAAATTTTCTCCTCCACAGAAATTAATGCAATTAGTTTTAGAAGACTCAGTGTTGTACATACCAGTATCGACATGCCTATTGGTGTGTATTTTTTTCATCCTTGTTCGCGTGGTCGCAAACTTCGGATTCCTGTCTTTTTACCGTAAGACCACCCTCAATGGCACTTGGGCGTTGGGTATCCAAACCGCAATCATAGTACTATTGTTGACTTGCCACGCGGACAGCGGACTTCTCGTGCTTCTGTCCTCATTTTCCCTCACGATTGCCTTTTTAGTGTGTACGTCGGCACGCGGGTTCTTTAGCGTCTTTGTTCTGGCTTTTATGGTTCTGAGCATGTGGTCCACCCCGGTGCTGTCGTACGCTACGACGGTTCGAATACGCCCTCCTAGTCCGAGTAGTCGGCAGCGCAGCATCGTCTCTTCATATAATGGAGAAAATGTTCAACTAAAGGTAGAAGGGAACGACTTTCACAAGATCGATCCCTGGTCAATGTACATTTTTCACGCGGATTTTTTTCTGATTAATGACATTCCACCACTGCTCAAGGTTCCTTCCGTCACTGAGGTACCTTCGCACGACCGCACAAGGCTGCGGGAGGTGATTTCTGTCGGGGAGCGCACTCGAATATCGGGCCTTGCTGGGGTCCAAACGCTAGTGCTTGTAGGGGAAGGAAGCACCATTGAGAATAGTGTTCTGCAATGTAAGTTTGATGCCGACATGCATAAAAACACTACGGATGTGATACCTTGTTTGGTTGGTGCCGCCCGGTTTAGTGTCATTAATGTAACAATGCAGTTTCAGGTAAAGGTGAATGACGTGATGAAGGTTTGCTCATTTCATGTGCCGAAAACCGAAAGCTGTTTTGAGGTGACACAACGATACAATATACTACGTGATGAGATAAAGGGAAATTTATCGGTGGTCGACTTACCGTCTGAACTGATCCGCTGCCGCGAGCCTGACGTCGCGGTTAGTGGCTTTCTGAAGGGGATTCCGATTTCACCTGATTTTTATGCAGCTATGCCGCTTTTAGTAGCGCTGCGCACGCGCTTGCCGCAATTTATTGGTATGGTACAATCGTATTGGTCATTTCTTTTTAAATATATTGGTATTCCCGCAGGAAAGGTGATCCTTGAAGCTGCAACCATGCTTGACAAGCTTTGGAGGCAGCTTGCTGTTTTGGCGATCACCATGAGCAAGACATCGCTTCCTTATCTGTTTGCAGTCCTTCGGTTGTTTAAAGATTCCTTTGAGGGCTTCTTATATGGAATAGGCACTCACAAATGTGAAAGCGGAAATAGTGATTGGGATAACGGCGCCATTGAGCTGGGGTTTCTTCTTGGAGTTAATTTACGAGAAGGTCTTGGTGTGGCTCTTTCGTCAGCATCGGATGCTCTCACAGTGGTGCCAGGATTGTGGGTGGTCATCCAGTGGTCCTTAAATGCGGAATGGACTATTACCAAAACGCTGATTGGTGGTTTCAGGCAGGGGCTGTATCGCACCGCGACGGATGTCCTATCTCCCGTAGCTCAGAGCATATTGAGTCTATTTGGAGCTGTATGTATGAATTTTGGTCCACTTTTAGGCAATTTGAGAGCTCTTGTGTATTGTACACACACCTTTACTTTTCTTGATTATGCATATCGCTGGTTGTTTAGCCAAGAATCACGCTTGATCAATCTGGAGCTTCGTATAATAAACGTTTTGACGAGGTGCGCTGCCTGGGTGCTTGTTTTTATCATTCGATACTCAGGCCGAGTGTTTGCCAAATCATGTCGATATGGCTTACTTACTGTGAAGTGGTATAGCTCGACATCTTTCTTTATTCACTTTTTTCTATTCATTTTGCAGACTGTCGTTTTGTTCATTGCACTTCGAAACGAAATTCGGGAATTGATTGAATATCAGTTCACCGCCAAGTCGAACAAGAACGCTGGAAAATGTACCAACCACATGGGGGATGCTAACACTGGTGGCATGTGGTTCTTAGGAAAGGCCTTGCAGAAATTTCAATCGCACCCAAAGCTCAATGTTGTAAACGGAATCACCCTCTTAGCGAGAAACCATTATCAAGCCTTCACCGCTTACATTCTTCAGCACAGCGTACTATGGTTCTTACTCGTCGGTCTCTCCGTGTTTCCTTTCACCGGCAAGTTCTACGCTCTCACACTCCATGTTGCGCTCCCATGGTTGTCTTCAAAACTATTTTTGAATTTTTTTACCTCTAAGCCATCTCATTCTCAGGTAGCGATGATGTTCGGGGGCAGATTTGTTCTTGCGCTTTTCCTTGAATGCACCATCGGAGATCTCATCAGGCGTTTGATAAAAGAAATGTTCTTTTTATTCATATGTTCTGTTTGCATTCTCTTGTTAGCATGGGCCTGGAAGCATCACCATTTCCTAACGGTTCAATTCCTTACGATTTCCACAAAGATATTTAGTGCCGCGACAACTCCAGCCACAGTGATTCCACTGATGGATAGTGAAGACGGTATAATTGAAAAAGCCTCCAGTTTAAACCGCGCGGGGGTTACGCAGGAGGAAGCTGGGTAAATCGTTAAGTGTTAAATGTGAAGTTCGGAATCTCAAAGTGAAGATTCCAAACTGACATAGGATTTTATGTTATCAAATGTTGAATTTTGTTCTATGCATCAGCCAAGTCAACATTTTTTATAATTTGGCTAAAATTGGAGTAAAACTCAAAAAAAATACGTGACATCGAACTTTTTCAGTGCAATACAGTAGTAATATTTTACTACACATTAAAATATAGTCTATATTATTATATCTTTATTAAAATAATCTATTTGCATTGTAAAATCGTGTATATATTAGCTAAATCACAAAGATATACGCTGACCTTTGTATTTGAACGAAACACTTATTGTAGAACGAGTGATATATGGATTCCCTTGTTTCTTAACTTGTTCTGTCTTTTCTACTCTTCACTTTCTTCAATCGATCCTCTGATATATGCATACACACACGTAATCCAAAATCAAGGAAACATTGCCACTATATTATTATTGTAAAATATCTAAAGTGTAAACAAGAAGGAATTGCCTATGGATACTGTTTGTGTTCCAGATTCCGCGGTGCCCATTATCATAGCACTTCAGGATGTATTTCTTCATCTGCAGCGGAAGCGCCTTGAGGGTTGGGCTGCCTCAGTGGATAACTCCTTAAGTTCGTGGAGTGAACTGTACCGAAGTCAGGTTGTGCCGCTCGGAGACGACCTTGTCAATCGGATCTGGGGATTGATTTCGACGATTTTGCAGATACTTGAAAATGACGGGTCTTTAAATGTAAACGCGAGCACAGCAGTGGTGGCGTGGTACTGGAACAACATGTTAGACGAGGATTATATCAAAGAAAAAATTATGGTGCTTCATGGAGAAGACTTCGATGATTTTTCCGACAATGAAATTGAAGAGATCGGGATGTTCTACTTGGATATGATAGAGCGAACTTTTTTTTCAGGCAAGTTTCTTGTAACATTTTCTTTAATTGATGCACTCATGGGTGCGCTTCGTGGGCGTGGCGAAAACGATAGCGAAAATCCATTTTCGGTAGAAATTGAGGAATGCATGGCAGACGTTCAGAGACTTTTATCTTCATCCTTTAGTGATCCCGATAGCTTTGAAGAGTGGAGAAGTAATGCCAATCAGCAGGTGTATGTGGCACGGCGTGTACTAGGAGACGTCAATTCCAATACCGATCCATCTGCACGCAAGCTGATTGCACAAAGCCTTTGTGCGGTCTCATTAAATATACTTTTGATCATCAGTGGTGATTCGCAGTTAATACAGGAGCGCTGTATTGAATGTGGGTATACCTTTGTCGACTATATTACGGCACTCTGCGCCATTATAAAACCGTTTTGCACCTTGTCTGAGCTGCGCGATGCCGTTGAGACGTCAGTAGACACCTGGACAGGGAGGGGTGTCGAAGTGGAGTGGGACTTCGTGATCATACGCGAAGTTTTCAAGGCAGCCAATGTTGAGGATATCGTTTACGCTATGCAGGCGATTTGTACCGAGGTTGTGACTCGTATTTCATGGGATCCGCTTGAGATGGATGGCGATGACGTTGCCTCCGAAGAGGAAGGGGATGATGACCAAGAAGAGTGTGAGGCGGTCAGTTTACCGCAAGCCGGTACTCCCTCAACTCGCTACTTCGCTTTGCTTTCGATAACTGCTCACCTAGCTGATCTTTGCGCGCCTGCGTTGGTCGCCTTCCCCGATCAGATTGAACTCACCTTCATTCGCAACAACCTTATCACGTCCTATGTTAAGCTCTTTGCCTATAACCCACGAACCTGGAAGATAGCGGGAACATACCTGGCACACCTGGCTCTCCTGAATCCCCAGGAACTGCGCCATCTCGTGCTGTACGCCGCTCGCTGGGCTGCCGTAGAGCATCGGTTTTACCACAGCCTTGTCGCTTTCTGCCACACCATGTGGGACTCCTCCTGTCCTCACCAGACGGTGATGCGCCGGCAACTTAAGGATAAGCTAGGGGAGCACCCAACGGTCCAGCAATGGCTGGACGCGCTTGATTTTGAGCGCCTGAGCACAATGAAAAATGTTCATCATACCATCATCGCGAAACGAATTGAACTCCATGATATCGTGACCGTGGCTTGGTATGCCGTGGAGACTGACACTCCACACCTACTGGAGTTTAAATTAAAACAGCTTCTTAGAGCGCCTACGGCCTTGGCAGATGATCAGCTGTGTTCTGTAGGCGCCGCAGTCCACAATTCCTTCATTCAGCTTGACACTTGTACCACAGTCGAAATGGCGCACTCCCTTTTGGTTTGCGCAGGCATTTTTACGTACCGCCGTGCCGCGGAGGCCTCTAAGGCCGCTCGGTTGGCTCTGGTTCAAAGTCCAGAAGCGACTCTCGAACGCCAAAGGCTCAGTGCCGAATGCATCGACAAGATCGGCATTGCGCTCCGCCGCATCAACACATGCGACTTTGCGTTTCATCCCCTGACCATCATTAATTTAGTCGAGCACGCCGTGGATTTGCTTATATCTATGCAAAAGGAAGTGCTTGGGATGAATTTGCCACCCTGTGTTCAGCTGGCAGGTCGGATACTGCCTTCTCTCTTGCGTGATCTTTCAACTTCATGTGTTCACCATGGTCAGAGTTTATCAAAGGAGCTACTGCATCGCTCAAATATAGTTCGAGAGAAGCTGGTCTGTACCCTAGAAATGCTTCCAGAGTGAGTTTAGAATCGTTCTGGAGGTGTGTGTTTTTGCCCTTTGGGTTCCTTTCTTACTTTTTAGGTTCAGGGCGTACATGAGGTGGGGCTTGCGTTTTGCCCACTTGTAGACAGAAAACAAGCGGGGAAAAAGTTGAAAGCTGTTATTAAAGGTGAACAAAATACACTATAGAATTTTTAAAGAAAGAAATGCTAAGATAAATATGTCCTTTCTATCTTCTCTTTTGCCACTTTGAGCCTTTAATTCCCACAAGTTTCTTTCTCTTCTTCAACTGAACATGGTATACCAGATTCAGTATTTTCCATTTTTTCCCTTTATATTCTATTTTCATTTTAGTTATTCTAAATTTCTCAATAATAAAAATATTATTGTTTTTATTAATTACTTTTTCTCGGAATTTTTAAAGTTGTTGACCCTTCAAATATACTGCTAGTTATTTTTTTCTACACAAAGATGGAATTATTTGAAGGAATTCTTTCCGCAGCCGCGGCTACTTTGGTACCTTCGGTGTTTAATATGCTTACCAATGGCCTCCTCAAAGTTCCGCGTCCCAGACCTATTGACATTCGCCAGGCTCACGAACAAGTCTTCAGTGTCAAACCATTTGTTCCTTATCATTTCTCTAAACCCTATACTTGTGGTCGTGTACGGGCGTTGTTAATTGGCATTAATTACTTTGGTAGTGAAGGCGAACTAGGCGGGTGCATTAACGACGTGGTTACGATGTTGAAAACACTGGAGCGTATTCAATTCCCTATTACTGAGTGTTGTATTCTCGTGGATGACCCTGGGTTTCAGGGGTCGATGGGCTATCCTACAAGGGAAAATATAACAAAGTATATGGCATGGTTAACTCATGATGCACGTCCTGGTGATGTGCTTTTTTTCCACTACTCCGGCCACGGTGGTCAATGTGAGGCCGAGGATGACTCCTTTGAGAATTATGATCAATGCCTGATTCCTGTTGATTTCGATACCGCGGGTAGTATTCTGGATAATGATCTTTTTTATCTCTTAGTGAGTCCTCTCCCTTCCGGATGCCGCATGACATGTATTTTTGATTGCTGTCACTCAGCCTCAATGCTTGATTTGCCTTTCAGCTTTGTCGCGACAAGGGACATGTCCTCAGGGCGCCAAGGATATACAATGAAGTGTGTGCGAAACAACAACTTTAGCCATGGGGATGTCGTAATGTTCAGTGGCTGTACAGACTCTGGTACTAGCAGTGATGTTCATAACCCAGGGAGTGATGCGGGTGGCGCAGCAACCCAAGCATTTACTTGGGCTCTGATTAACACCACAAACCTCAATTTCATGAACATTCTTTGTAAAACGAGAGATCTTCTGAAAAGTAAGGGTTTCAAACAAATACCTCAACTTACAAGTTCGAAACCCATCGACTTGTACAAGCCCTTTTCTCTTTTTGGCTCTATTGAAGTCAATCAGCGTCAAATGTCACTGATACCGCAGCATTTACCACCCCCACATCTATACCCACCTCCACAGCAACAGTATATACCTTCACAGCAATACCCACCTCCACAAGCAGAATGTGTACCCCCACAGCATTGCCTAGCTCAACGGCAACATTATATACCTCCACAGCAATACCCATCTCCACAACCACAATATGTACCCCCGCAGCAATATCTACCTTCACAACCACAATATGTACCCCCGCAGCAATATCTACCTTCACAACCACAATGTGTACCCCCACAGCAATATCTACCTCCACAGCAGTTCCAATCAATCCAAGGAAGTTCATCGCATCCCCAAGGGCAAAGCGCTGCTAACCAAGCCCCAGACTCCAAAAAGCCTAAGCCAAAGAGATCACAATACCCTTTTGAGTTCTATAGTAAAAAATAAAGATATTATATCAAGAATTAAAGGTGTGACTGTTGAAAGCGTATTTACCATTAACATTATATAGGATATTTTTATTGTTCATTCTTATAACCTTTGATGGTTTATTTAGTATTTACTTTTAAAAATTTCCATTAGTTAACAACATGATTTGTTGCCCTAGCTACCATTGGAAGTAACAATAAAGCCCTGAAATTCGTCCATTGGAATTTTTTATATGCACTTATCCCCTATTTTTAGTTTTCACAATTGTGATTGAAGTAAATTGCATATTTTTCTTTTACACAGCAGTACTTTTCGTAGGTAAATGTTAAAAATTATTATACAAAAGTATTAAAACGGTCCAAAAACACAATAAAAAGCTGTAAGTCAAATTGTGTCAAGTTCTTAACTACTTCGGGCATTTATATTAACAATTTAGATATATTCGATTCTTAGAAAAAAAAGGATTATGCAAGTCATTTTTTAGCAATCATTCATTTTAAATTGAATTATTCTTTTTTACAAAGTTTAAAAATGCTTTAAACAAAAGCACATGAAGGAATGAATATAATGAATGAATTGCCTATAATATATTTTATAGATCGAGCTATACAGTGTTTTTTCAATTATCATATTGTATAATTTTATCATCACTTTGAATGTCTGCGTGGTACTTTATGAGATGATATTTTCATTGGTTATTTAATAGTGTAATATACGTTGATCTTTTTTTATTTTTGAAAATAGGAGAAACCATTCATGTTAAGTATGCATATGCGTAGATTATTTACTCCTTATTTTGATTCATATTATAAAACTATCTTTATTCTGATTTTTATTTGGCATTATGCCTTTAAAAAAAATGTTTTTTTTTGTCAGCGGACAGTTTACGGGTTTATATTATTACTACATCCCATATTTTAATCTAAGATTGCATGGCATGGCATGCTTGCACAGATCATTCCCACATCGCCCTGTCTGCATCCTCTATAACAAGCAATGAGTGGCCGAACGCGTCAGTTTCTACAGAAACTTCTGGGTCTCGGTTCTGCTTAAGTTGTTTCCAATATCATATTCCTTCTATGTACCACATCGAGCTCTTGATAAATGTGAAATTGCTAACTGGGCTTTTGGGTCAATTCCACGTGCCGAAGGACGATGGGGACACTTTGCATTCCCCTTTTCACGGGGCGTTTGTGCAGCTTCGGTTCCACTTTCTTTCCCACTCAAAGCCATTACTTGAAGTGGTGGAGACCCTCATGCGACGTGTTTGTAGTCTCAACCGAGACAAACATATGGTTGCATTGACGACATGCCTAAAAAAGTTGATTGTGGATTTCACAATGCTTCTCATAATATTTCAGGAACCCTTATCCGTATTGCCTCCAAAATCGTCTTTTGAGTCCTCAAAGGTGACGATATTAGGGATGAGTATTAATGAAGAGCCTTCGCTGGGTGCTACAGAGCAATATTTGGAAGAGATACAACCACACTACGCATCCAGATGTTCTCTTTCCCATCTTGTTGTTATACTGGTAAGACTCCTCCAGGACATCTTTTCTAGTGGAAAAAATTCAGAAAAATACCATTGCCTGTTGCTGATCTCCGACATGTATGAGTCCTGTGCAGCTTTGCGGGCTGCTTCTTGCGATTATGTAGTGGACTTTTTGAGGCTGTACACCACCGAAGCGTTTTCGCGTGAGAGCAGCCGCACACTAGAGGTATATTTATATCTCTTGCATCAGCTTTTTATGGAGTCTCGGCAACGCCCAGATTTTCTTGAAAATCTTTCTAAGACCTTTTTATTATTGTCGTCTTCTCTTTCAGCAGAGCCGAAAGCTCCTTTGCCTCCTCAACTTCCAGTCTTTATATCTAACCTCTGCGCTACAATTGAAAATCACTCAGGAGCTCCAATAACTATCCGCAACGCACTAACTTTGATGCATTTTGTCGTTTTCCTCGAAACAACTTCGGAGGTAGTTTTTGGTGACCCAAGCGATCCTGCTTTTGCACTCGCAATAGAATCTACTCTTCACCATGTTGTTCCTTTGATTCTTCATCCTAATACAGAGGTGGGCTTGTTAGCCTGTGATACGGTACGACTCTTGATAAAGAGGCAAAGTTCATTTGGCATATCAAAATCCACACGAGAATGGATAATGGATTTAGCATTAGAAGGAATTCAACTCGCCTCGAAACCCTCTGCAGCTCCCCTTATTGGGCTTCTAAATACCCTATGTAGTGGCTGCTGCATTCACTCTGATGAGGAGACAGCGTTAGAATCAACAACAGGTGCGAATCCGAATGCCTTAGGGCTTATTATTCAACTCTCCGGTTTCGCCAATGACGCGTTTCAGGATGCCATAAACGGGAATTTTCTTCAACAATACGTTCAAAAAAATACGGCGAATGTGGATACCTATGCCGAGCAAATTCTTCGTGCCTGTGGGGGGAACTCCGCCTTACCCTTTCGCGGCTTTCTGCGGTTGCTCTACTTGGTGTCGGGAATGGCGTCCGACGTCGCGGCGATCCGCCCGGAGGTCGCCTCGCAGCTGGTTCAACACACCCTCCGTCAGCTTGAGGGGGAGTTGACGTCGTCCTCCTCGACCGCCGCGTCTGGGATGGGGGGAGGGGGGGGAGGGAGGGGGGTCAGACTCCCCGCTGGAGGTCCTATTCACACGCAACGATCACGCCCTTTCGGAGTTGCTGCACCACGACGCATTTCGAGAGTTGTCCCAGACGGTCTCCCACTTTCTGTTCATCTCCGATGAGCTCCCTTCTCTGGCGGTGCAACTGCTCGCGGAGGTGCATCAGAGCTTCTCGGATGGGCATGTCCTGGGCAGGATTGAGCCACGAGAATGTGTAGAGATGCTGGTCTTGGCGCATCGTCTCATGAAGAGATATATTGTAGCCAATGGTATCGCCTGCTCGGCCCGGCGTTGGTGGTTTTCTCGCCTGAGGCGATTGCTCCAGGAGGGTCTATTGGATTGGTTGTTATTTATATCGGTTGGCCATGAAGACGAGGATATCGAGAAACAGCGAAAGGCCTTAATTCAATCAGTTCTGGGTGAAGATAAAGGCGTTATTGCAGAAGATACGACTCGTGGCGCTGCCTCGTGTAAGGAGTTGCTGTTGAGAGATGGATCATCCCAACGAACCAGCTATTTACTTACATCGTTCGCGATACTTGGTTGTCCTGCCCCTCTGGACAAGGATGACATGAATACGCTGCTTTCCGATGAGTTCTGCAGGTTGGTACAGCTTCTGGTTGATCACCAAACCGAATTTTCAGATGTTGCAGACCAAAGCCAGTTGGACTCGGAGGCGGCGGAAGGTACATCAGTAATACCCTCGGATTTGGGTGCCATCATCGATACTCTCTCAAATGTTCTTCGGATGTGCGCAGTGTATTATAAATACTTCGGTTGTATCCCTGAGAATTTATCGTTGGATGCAGCCGTCAAGACCTCAGATCCGGCAGATGGGGACAGTTTTTATGCTCTTATTGTTCGCTCGTCGTATCTGCGCCGTGAGATACAAAAACTTATGTTAGTACTTGACACTGAAGTGTGTGCACCAGAACATCTGAAAGGAGAGCATGCTAACTGCGATAAATATGCAACGGTTTTCAGTAATGGCCAAATTCTCGAAGAGCTGCTTCAGAGTATCCTATTGGGTAGGTTTGCGCTTCATATTCTCCTAGCCCTACTCATCACGAACTTGGAACGCACATCGATGGTGTACTCCATGGAGGAGGCGTTTTGGCGCAGGTGGCTTAGCGCCGCAGCTGCGCCAGATGCCGGAAACGCACTTTTTCGAGCCCTCTTCCAATTCATGCGTGAGTTTCATAGAAGTGATCCCATCAAACAAGTGGGTCTACTTCGTCTACTTCATGTCTGGGTGCATTCCCTGGACCCGGGCAAAGTAATGACCCCTCTTCGTGCTTGCCTATTAGAGCGTCATATATTTCCTCACATTCTTACAGACCGTAGCCGGTGCTGCCCGCGGAGTGTGGTAGATGGTATGGTACTGCTCCTGATCAATACACTCAGTCCGATTCCACCTACGCAGAGCAATACCTGCGATGTCGCCATTTTCAAGTGGACTGTGCACACCCTCACGGAAGCTTGGACTACTGTTCATAGCTGGCACGCAGAGTCATTCCAAGAAACGACCGCACGCGATTTGATCCCCTCAAGGACTAATCCTCTCCTACCCCTGAATATCCTTGTGCTGCTGCACCTTCTTCTAGAGCGGGCACATGGTCGGGAAATGTCTGAGCGCTACAGTGAGGTTCTTTTGCCGGTATTGTCCAACATACAGAGCACGGCGATTCGTCAGGATATGCTGAACGGAGATGTGATAGGGTTTCATGCGGCCACCGTAGCACTATTGTGTGGTTTGCTCAAGGATCGACTTCAGATTGATTCGGCTCGAATTTTGGGTATCAAGAGGATCAACGGGGGTGGATCCTTTGCCATGGCAACTGCGTCTCTTAGGAAGTGTTGGATTTGTCTCCCAGTTCTTCAGTGCCGTCGGCTTGTCCACCACGAGTGTAAAGAATGCCGAGATAGCGAAGAGAAAACGGCGTTGCTTCTCTGCTTGAAGGCCCAGGTGATAAGTGCGTTTCGGTTCATTTTCCTTTTCCACACCGACCGTGCAGATGCTAATACGGGAGAGGTAGAATGTGTCTGCGATGGTGCCTTGTGCCCCGACGACGAGTACCACGCGTCCCTCTGTCTTTTGAACTGGTGCATGGAACTGGTGCTAGCGCGGGACGTTGTATGGGCAGAACCCTCCTGTCACGTAATCTACACGCTATTAAATCACTACCGCGCAACTTTGGCAACCTCACAGGAGGTTCTCGCGATTTATCTGTGTTGTTTGAGATGTGGCCCCTCAATGCTATCTGCAACACAGCTGGGAGTGTTGCTGTCTGCTCTTCTTTACGTGGCCCCGCATCTCCCGTGGACACCAAACGGAGATGCAGTGCACAAGCTTGTACACCATTTCCTCACGACGGTGGACCCCACCGTTCTGCCTTCGGATCTAACGTGTAGCCAGCCTTCTCAGAAGACTAACCAAACAGAAGTGTTGTTAACTACACTCGGTGGAGCTAGTGCCACTGTCAAGATGTATGAGGTTCTTAGCAGCGCATGTCGATATTACGGACAAATCATTCCTCAGGCCCCACCGCTATCTCTGCATCGATTGACTGACTTCCTTGCTGTTTCGTCATGTAGTGCGGAAGGATCCTCTTCAATACACTTATTTGTACAAAATCAAGCGCATGTTAATCTATTTGTGAAATACGCCTCCCTTCAATAGTTTTCGCTTATGTCATTGCAACTTTTTAACCGTAGTTTCTTTTACTTATTTATTTCTATCGTTTTATCCACCTGCTACAGTAACCTATTTCATACATATTCAACTCTTTCAGAATATTATCAAAAATTCCATTTGACTCAAAAGATCTTTTATTTCCTAATAAAATGTATTTCCTGGAAATGTTAATGAATTGTTCCCTATAATATTGCTTTTGTTAGACACTTTTCCTTCTACATATACTTTTGTAGTAGTTTAATTATGTGATCTGCTTCCTTAAAGGTATACACGACAAGTGAATCACTGAATATTTGTCCTGTATCACCTTTTCCTTATACATTTATTTAACAAAACTACCTTTACTACTCCCCAAGCAACGGAAACTACAATGGGTCTTTTTCGACTGACACGTTATTTGGCGTCCTCTGTGCGATTCTTGTCAGAAAGGCAGAATACCGACCTTAGAAAACGCTCCAAGCTGCGCCGTAATCGCATGGAATCAAACTTATCCTCATCTAATACAGCGGAGGCGGCGCTGTCCACGTTTTACAGTCATTTAAACGACACCCTAACCTCTACACATCCGATCGACCTCACGAAGCTGCATTGTATTGCGGGTGTCGCGATGCGGGAGTGTCTGCGGTGCGGCAGCGCCAGGGAGGCCATTGCCGTATACTACGCTTTCTGCCGATGCGGCCTTAGCGATCCAATTTCGTGGTTTGCCGAGGGGAATACCACGGCGGAGCCGATAAGCATGGAAAAGATGGCGCTTGAGGCGCTGCACTGCCTTCCACACCGTGTGTGGAAGGGGACGGTAGTTTCTCAGCTTGTAATGGCCGAGGCGAGGGAAAAGCAGATTACGGAGCCCCCGCAAAGTCATCCGCCAGGTCTGTCTAGCAAGCGAACGACCTCATCGTCTGCGGAGGAATCCGCCACATTTTCTTTCGATATTACACAAGGTCCGAAAATATCGACAGCGGAGCGGTTCCGCATTGATCTCCACCGTAACATTCAGCTACTTTGCACTTCTAAGTATTTGCAACTTCAAATCGGCCGAAACTTTTTATTTAAAAAGATGCACGATATCGAAGTCTCAACTTCTTTACAAGAAGAGGTTGAGGTTCAGCCGATGTGTTTGCTCTCTAGTGGTGTGTTGTGGCATCCTTTCGCCTACTCCACGCCGACGATGCCATGGGCGCAACGTTTAAGCCACTTTGATAACTTGGGCCCCTCCTCTGTTTCAGTTAAAACCCTGAGCGAGGTTCAATTGGAGGGGCTAGAGAGTGTTTGGGAGTCGACAGCTTCCCTACGATCACTATGTCGCAGCGCTCTTTTGTTTTTGACCTCACTTGCCACTGAATGGGACCAGATCTTCTTAAAACGCATCTCGGAGACTCTTATCTTGCCAGATCAGGCACATAATATTTTTCCTATATCATACAATCGACCCCAACTCTCCTCAAGTTTCACTGCGCAAGTGTCTGCAATGGGAACAGACGAAGTTGACGTCGATAATAAGTGGGAACTCTCTCCACGAAAAAAGTGGACGGACCCTACGTACAGACTCTTTACATCAGTGGCTGTCAATTCTCCGGAAGATGCCCTCCAGAGGGCAGAGCTTATTGTAAAGCGTCGGATTTACTATAGTATCGTGGTTCCTGATGCACCATACATATTGCTCTATTTCAATCAATTACAGCAGATGGGCAGACATCGTGAAATTGTTTTAACACATGGAGTTTTACTCGACATTCTACGCGTCGCTTTACTGATTCGAGACCCTCGTCGTTTCAACGCCAGACGTGTCTTACGTGCTCTTATGCTAGCGACAACAACAACGCTTACGAAGTGTAATTTTTCCCATTCACGACCAACAAACACCATACCACCCTATAAGATGCAAGATGGTGGGGTCACTGTGCTTGGCTTGCAGGATGAGTTGGCGTTGTTGAATATATGTCCTGAACGTCTTTACATCGGAGAATCTGAACTTGCCGGTGACGCTTTGGGCGGCTTAACCTATTCACATGCACTTCAGCGACCCGAGCAACAATCCCGCAGTCTTGGGTATCTTTCTGCTGTATTAGTGGCCAAACAGCTTGAAAGAATGGTAAAAGCCCACCGGAAAGGTCTTAGTTTCGCAACCGTGAGTAAGTCGGAGGGTAAAACACCCAAAACGAACATTAGTCAATTGATGAATGACATCGATGACTACACTTTCCTTCAAACATCTCAGGCAGAGGAATCCTTCAATAATCATAAACCGCAGCTTTTCAAGAATAAACCTCGCCCATGCTGGTCTCGTAATTCCGTGGTGGTTGCTACTACCAGCTCTAACACACGGTCGTTGGCTTTTACTATAGGTATCAATACGTTCCCTCCAATTAGTGTATCATAGACTCTTTTCTATGATTTCTTAGGGTTTTCACATTATTGTTATGGCTTATATAGCATCGTAGTGTACATCAATCATATTAAATTAACAGTAATTCAATGATATGGACTTCAAACGGTAAAAAAAAGTATGATGTCCACTGATCGTTTTTGAGTATGTGAACCAAATCAACAACAATAGTGTATACATATTTATTTTCCCATTTTTTTATTAATTCATTCTCTTTTTTTTCTTTTTGGTTGTGATAATGCATCAGCAAATAAAGTATACAACTATGAAAGCCGCTTTTGTCTGCCTATCTAAACCCACGAAATCTAGCAAACCTTTATTGTGCACCAATAATGCGCCCCACGGGTGGTGTTAAACGCAAATACCCTTCCTTAGAGATTCTTAAACGCGTCCGGGAAGGATACCATTTGGAGGCCTCGGTACCACTGGGGCATAAAATCCCCCGGACGGATGAACCAGGGGACGTTGTCACATCCCAAGTGGAGCGCTACGCGGCGTTGGCCCACGGGACCGTTCGCATCCACCGGGGGATCTCCCCGGCCTCTCTATTTATGAGCCTACGGCGGGCCCCCGTGGGGGTGACCTGTGCGGACACCGGCCGTTACACCCTGGTCTTTCTGAAGCCCTCCTTTTGGCTGACCTGGTGGCCCGTCGAGGCGCGGAACTGCCGGGCTGCAACCCAAACGCACACGACCGTGTCGCTCGAGGAGAGAGTCCGGCTTGGGGTCTTTCATGAGCCTGAGATCCCAACCCCGGACGCGTTCCCCTCCCCATCGGAGGTCAAGCGGTCCTCTTACTGGCAGAAGGAGGACGAGGAAGAAGGGAGGGGAGAAGACCGACCAGGAGCGGTACCCACGACGGAAGCGCCCAGTACGGAGTTGTACCACTATGAGGCGTCTCGATTTACTAAGATCTCCCACCCACCACTCCTGGAGTATGGCTTAGATTCTTTGAACTTGGTGAGTGAGCTTACACCAATGCTCCTCGCGGAATGTCTTGTGAAAATCCTCATAGAGGAGTGTTTTCTGACGGGTGATATCGGCCGATATTCTTTCCTGTACCGTGGATGTCACTTGCTCAGTGAAAGTGGCTTCCAGATGTTGTTTTCGAATTTGTTAACGCAATGTGTAGCTGGCGATCAGGACCAATCCCAACCCATACGGGTTTGTGTATTTTCTAAATTTTGATATAAAAAAAAGGTACACATGAATATTTACATTCGATTTTATTTATTATGAATGCTGCTGATAGTTTTTTTTATTATTTGATTAAAAAGCAATGTGTTTGTGCTTACTCATGCCTGGTCTGTGCGTAAGGCTAAATATATAGAAGTTTCTAGGATTTCTCATGTTATTTATTCAGCAATCATTGTAATTCTTAACCTTATGTCTTGAAGATAAGGGTATCCCCCCACCCTATTAGAGTTCGATAGTTTAAATAAATTTGCATTTTCATCCGTCTTTTTCTTTGGTAAAATAAAAGAAAATAGTTAACTAGGATTTTGTTTGCCGACTTTCACGTCCTTTCTTTTTCATATGTTCACTTTTGTAATCGATTCAGTGAAATTGAAGCAAAAAAAAAGATGCACTAAAATAAATAGAGCAGATTTACATGGTCTTTTTTTCCTTTTCTTTTGAAGCGGGAAGGATTGCTTTTTTTTTCATTGTTTTAATTCCTTTTCTCATCCTTTTCCTTTGTTTTCTGAAATCTATTAAGTGAAGAATATCTCTCACCATTACTATTAGTAAATACGCGGTCAAAGAGACATATTTTTAAGGACTTGTTGTGAAGACAAAACGATTTATAAGGGGCATTTTTAAACGAAAAGTCCACAAAGGGGAAAGCGGAAAAAAAGGAAATGTCCGAAGCCGTACAGCAAATTGATCACAAATTTCTGGACCGGCAGAGCCGCACCATCGGCACTTATGGCCTTGAAACCATGGCAAAGCTTATCTCCTTCAAGGTGCTCATTCTCGGCTGTGGCACCGTGGGCATTGAAATTGCCAAAAATTTGTCATTAGCTGGTGTGCATACAATCCATTTGTACGACCCTCGGAAGGTGACCCGGGCACATATGGGCGTGAACTTCGCCGTAGGGGAGCACACCATCAAAGCGAATAAAACGCTTGCGGAGGCGTCATGTGCATACATCGCGGAACTTAATCCCAACACGCGTGTGCGGGTCGAGACCGTGTTAAATGAGGCTGTTGTAGCGCAGAACACGGCTCTCATCATCACCTCGGACGCCCCTGACCTCTCCGCGGGGACACTGATTCATTGGGATTTTTTCTGCCGGAACCACCGACCGGTGATTTCTTTTATGTTGGCCTTGCAAACCGCGGCAGTAGGCTCGATCTTTGTCGACCACGGCCCATCTTTTGTCGTCAACGATGTTGACGGCCGGCCGACGCTGCAAAAGTCAATTTTGGAGATAACTACGCTGACAGACAAGGCGGGGGATCGCTATAGCCGCATTCGATTCGAAACTCCGGAAGGGCAGACCCCGGGTGCGCTGCGGGACTACACTCGGATCAAACTCACGGATGTGGTCGGCCTCACCAAACCAAACGGCGAGAGTGTGAACAACCGGGAGTTTGACGGGGTGGTGTGTTTGAACGATTCACGGAACACCGTGCGGGTGTACCCGTCCTTTGATGATTTGGCGTACAGCGCGTACAAAACGGGTGGCTTCCTTCACGAGGTGAAGGAGACCATCCCGCTGACGTTCCGCTCACTCCAAGAGTGCCTCCCCGCCCCTGGCGACTTTGTGCAAGTCAGTCCGATGATGGACAATGCCGAGGAATCCCAAATGCATCTTTTCATTAACGCGCTCTTGCGCTTTGCTGATACGCACAACGGACGTTTTCCCGCCCTGCACAATCGGGCGGATGCGGAGGAAGTCGTCGCGTTGGCCCGGACCATTCTCCGTGAAAACACGGCGATGCCTAGGCCCAAAGTGCAGGAGTCGTCTGCTCCCATCGCGCCACCAAAATCTGAGTTTCCGTTTAAGAAGCCGCTCCCCCTGACACCGGTACCTCTTGTTATGAATCGAATAAATGAGGATTCCATTAAAAAAGAAGCACTTATCGCGGGTGTCGAGCTCCAGCCCCTTGCATCCTTTATCGGCGCCGTCGTGGCGCAGGAGGTTGTCAAGATCACGGGCAAGTACACCCCCATTCACCAATGGTTCCACCTCTCAATGGAGTCTGTCCTTCCTGACTCCCCAAACTATGCCAGCGCCGAGTTTCGCGCCCCGGACAGTCGCTATGCGAACTTGATCGCGATTTTTGGAAAGTCCTTCCACGACAAACTAGCGAATTTGAGGATCTTCCAGGTGGGCTGTGGGGCGTTGGGGTGTGAGAACCTCAAGAACTTCGCGCTCAGCGGCATTGCCTGCGGCAAGGGCGGCTCGCTCATCGTCACTGACAACGACCGCATTGAGGTCTCCAACCTCAGCCGACAATTTCTCTTTCGGGAGGAAAACGTCGGGCAGTCTAAATCCGCCGCAGCCGGGGCCCGAATGCGGGAAATCAACCCGAGTGCCCCGATCGACAGCCGCCAGGATTTTATCGGTCCCTCCACCGAGCATCTCTACACGGAAGCTTTTTGGCAGGGGTTGGATGTGGTGGTGAACGCCCTCGATAATATGGAGGCGCGCCTATACGTAGATCAGCAGTGTGTGAACTTCCATAAGGTGCTGGTCGAGTCGGGGACGATGGGGACGGGGGGAAATGTGGATATCATCGTCCCGGGGAAGACGACATCCTACGCGGACGGCGGCACCGCTGATCAAACGGGCGGCATTCCCATGTGCACGCTTCGTAATTTTCCTTATATCTACGACCACTGTATTGAGTGGGCGCGCGCCCAGCTTGACGATCTTTTTGTATCGCCAATAAACGCTGCACGGCAGATAATGGAGGAACCCGAGGCCTTCATTGCGCGTATTAAGGAAGAGGTCGAGGCGGCCAAAAGCGGCGGTGAAAGGCTTAGTCTAGTTGAAAAGCACCTCGGCTCACTAAAAGGTCTCAAGCAGACCCTCGAAATTATCGCTCAGGGTCCCAGTATGTCGACCTGCGTTCAAATGGCCCTTGATACCATGTTAAAACTCTTCCGCGACCGTATTTACGACCTGCAAACATCCTTTCCGAAAGACTCCAAAAAAAAAATGGCGAGCCCTTCTGGTCCGGGCATCGCCGATACCCCAAAGCCCTCGAGGTCGACCTCCACGATATTCCAAACCACCCCGATGTGGTGAATTTCCTCCTCTCGGCGGCGAATTTGTATGCCTGTGTGCTCGGTCTGCATCCTCCTAAACATGAGGCCCGCTATAATGATGAGCACAACCGCTGGATGAAAGACTACCGCACAACGGACTTTCTGAAGTCGGAGCTTTCGAAAAAAAAACTGCCAGAGTATGTCGCGCGAGAGGTGGATGGCCTTGACGAAGACGTCGCCGCCGAAGTGACCTTGTCAATCGGCAAGACGAGTCTGCCCCAGCAGGAGGCCAAACTTCGAGGACTTTTCGATGAAATGGTGGCGCTGGCCAATAGGTATCCACACGCCACGGTCACCCCTTTGGAATTTGAGAAAGACGATGATGACAACTTTCAGATTGATTTCATCGCCGCCACAAGCAACCTCCGTGCGGGGAATTACCATATACCCTTGCAGGATCGCATGAAGGTGAAGATGGTCGCCGGAAAGATCATTCCGGCGGTGATGACGACCACCGCCGCTGTGACGGGGCTTGCTCTCCTTGAGCTTTTTAAGGTTTTGCAAAACAAAGACGTGGCGATGCTACGAAACGGCATGATTGATTTGGGAACGAATAATTACGTCCTTTTTGAGCGCGACACACCTGTGCGACGTCGCACCAAGATTGTCTCGACCTACCTCCCTGAACAGGATATCACCTACAAAAAGAAGGTGATTTGCATACCGGATGGGTTCACCAAGTACGATTCTATTAAGATCAATGTCTCCTCATCTACCACGGTATGCAAGTTTGTAGAGAAGTTGTTGGAATCGCTGAACAGTACACTTCCCACGGATGCAGAATTTAAGTACGAAATTGATGGCCTTGGTGTGGGAAAAGGCCTGCTCTGGAACGGCCTCCCATCTCATGCTAACACAAACGCGTCTTTGATGAACTTAATTGAGAAGCAAAAAAGTACTGAGATGGGGGATGCTACTTTCCAGAACAACTTCTGGAAGGGGCGTACGAAATTTTTTGATCTTACCGTCGTGGTGTCTGCAGACGATGGTGACTCCACCGTAGACGAAGTGGAAGTCGAAACGGCACCCATCTGCCTTTGCATTAAACCATAATCTAACAGAAATGGGTACATGTACAACTTTGGTTAAAACAGAGTGCGAAGAAAATCATATATATGTATGTATATGTATATATGATTACGTTGTATGCACTGACATAACGTACTTTTTTCTTTTCTATCAACACAACTAAGCAAAAAATATTGATTAATTTTATATCTTTGGTTTCAGGGATATATGGTGGTCGAAACCAGATTTATATAATGGTTATTTCTCTGAGTATATCAAAACTTCCAGAAACGCAGAGCATGCATACACTAAAGAAAAAAAATAAAGACTCCTATCTTTAATCAGCAATGCTTTAGTTCATTCAAGTGATATGCACGTACCCAAGTTTTAGGGAAAGAAATATACAAAAATATTTATTTTGATGAGTGAATAGAAATAAAGTATAGAAAATTCACATTGTGTCGAAATGAATGCTTTTATGATCTTTTTTTCCTTTTTTTGTCTTATATGAACAAGAGATATAAAAAGTGCTTGTCAAAACGTTTTCAGCACCTCTCCTTTTATGGTTTCTTCTTTAGTGAAGAGCCGCTATCGCTTGCCCTTTATAGGAATAGGTTTTACGATGTCTAGGGTACCTATTTTTCCGATTTTTGTCCTTACATTCTTGTTGTTCGTGTCAGGTGTGACTTCAAGAAGCGTAGTGAATGGGGTTCTGCCAGCCACGTACATGGTTGAGCCCCTACTGGAGGAATTCAATACATCAGACATCTGCCCGGCGCCGACCGTTTTATTTTGGCTCGGCGCCTCGTTTAAGGTGTGGACGCGGCTACACTCCTTTAGCTGCCCTGCACAAAATATTGCTGGTGCCGTTTCCGCCGGCCAGGCGGGCTGGGATACCTATGATACAGAGGAGGAAGAGGAAGTGATGCGATCCACTCACGTGAACTTACTTCGAAGGATTCACTCAATGGTCCCCGATCCCCAATATTTTCTCCGTCTGTACGAACCTCGCCATGCACTAGCAATACTGTCACTTATACCTGAAATTGAAATGTGGGTAAGGTCAAATCGAAGCATCGGCATGCATCCATTTACATACCAGCATGTCATTTCTCAGATAGAAGCCTTCACGAATGAAACGATCGCTTCGCTTCTAGACCCTATGGCTGCCAATTTCAGTGTTGATGGGTTGAATTCATCTCAGAACCATCCAAGTGAGGTATACTGCGAAAGCGCTGAGAGGTGCTTTTTGGAGAAGACCGCGCCGTTGTACGCCCAGCATGCTCGCAACGTCCTCGCACAGAAGCCCTGGCTGATTGTGAAGGATTCTGTCTTTCAGAAGGCACTTTCGATCTATCAGGCCCACGTCTATCGCGGAACCATCGTTCGCAGCTTTTCGTTTCCTACATTCTCGAAGGCCCGCGTGGAGCATCTTTTGCGGCTCGTCCAGTGCCTGTGGGACCGTGTGGAGGAGAAGCTTGAGCAGCAATCGACGCGGTCGCCGCTTCTTCCCGGGATCGATTTGGATGAAGTGATCGGGCCGCCTCAGCCGATTCCCAACCCCACAACCGGCGTGTGGTCATCTCGGCTTACGCCGCCTCCAAAAGTGCAGGTGGCGATCCCAACCCACAAACGTTATCGGCATCATCCGTGGAAACCAATCCTGCCCACCGCTGTGGTTTATCGGTACTCGGATAAGTGTAAATGGTGCGATACGTACGGAGTGGCGTTCGATCTACTCCCGGCGATTTACCGACGGATTTGTGAGCACGGACACCGCAGTGTGGTGAGCTGCAGCCCTATCATACTTTTCATACGGATGCAGGAAACTCGTGTGTTTAGCCGTCTGCCCAATATTTTGGTGTACTCGCGTTCCACACACTTAAGACTTTGGGACGAGGAGCTTTTATCTAGTCAATGGAGTTGGAGAGCCCGAGAAAAGAACAGAAGGGGCGATCATGAAAGAAACAGAAATAGCATCGATGCCGAAGATCTATTAGACTACATGGATATCGACGAACTTCGTGAATTTCTTCGTCAGCCTGATGACTTTAGGGGAGTGTCTTTGCCTCATTTGTACCGTAAAAATCCAGAGATCAACAGCGTAATTTTATCTATCCTCATGACGCTTGTTAAACATGGAAGTATCCAGCTTCGTTTGCTTTCACCGGAAGAATTATCAGAAATTCGTAAATCCAATCAAGAATCTATGGAGAACGAAGAAAAACTTAAACAAAGTAATATAGGAGCATCCTTTGAGGAGGACAGCCCTAATAGATCATTCCCTTCTAAGAATGTGGAGCTCCCCAAAAAGGTTAAAAATGTGGCCACCATTGACAAGTGCCTAAATAGCCTCATCGAGTATCATATGAATGAAATGTACGGCAACAGCTCACAATCAGATGCAGGAAATAAAATCAAAAATCAAAAAAGCGCTATCTCGTTCCATTCGAGACATTCTTCTTGGCATGAGTTGGTATGGTCACAAATGAAAAAACCTTATGAACACGTTCAACTTTTTTATGTTATATTGCTGATTCTGCTTGTCATAGAACAATACCGATGGAACCGACACCAGAAGGACAAAGTTTGGTAATTTCTACGGGTTTGTAAAGTCATAGTCATCCTCTTCAAATGTAGCGATTTTTCATTTCATCATACTCCATTTTTATTTCACCTTTTCGACAGTACGATGCACACGGGTATTGGGTTCTAGTTTTATCATCTCATGAACGCAATGACACTTTGTGTCCTTTTTGAAGGTGGAATCATTTTTTTTCCTCTCGGATGCCTATCTTATTCTTCCTAATATATATTACCTTTTCTTGTGTTTATGCCTTTTTTTTTTCTTGTATAAAGCTAAACGCGAACAAAAAGGAGAAGAAAATTTAAGAGACCAATTCCGTACAACTTGTGATCCATGAGCATTAACTTAACGAGCTCAACGCGACTACCTGGCGCGTTAGTGCCAAACGAACACTTCGAAAGAGAACAGTATGTACGGGTTTGTTTTCCCAACGGAAGAGTTGAGATTGGTGCAGTGATGAGCATCTCAGATGATATTATTACTGTGTATACTACACAGGGGTACGACATAAATGTACCGAGACATTTCGTAAAGCGGGCTTTCCTGCTTGTTTTGGATCTGAATGGTGTCCTTGTGGCACGTGGGCGCGGCAGCTTTGTACACCGCCCACATGTAAAAGAGTTTTTGAAATTCGTATTTTCGAATTTTGTCGTTGCGGTATGGACCAGTGGACTGGAGCGATCCTCGAATCTGATCATCGACAGCGTCTTCGATGGCTATCAGGATCGTCTGCTTTTTAAACTCTACCGCGACGCGTGTGTCCCACGGCCCACGGCGGAAAACCCCTTCGGTACCCTAAAGAACCTCCAAAAGATCTTCGATGCGTACCCCAAGAGCTTCCACAGCGTCAACACGATTATCGTGGACGACTCCCCGTGCAAGTGTTCACACCCGGACATCGCGCTCTGCCCGGTCCCGTTCAACGACCCCGAGGCCCAGCGTCAGGAGGACGGGCTGAAAAAGGCGATTGCGACGCTGCAGGAGGTCCTGAACTCGGATTCCCCTACCCCCTTAATCCGCGTGGCCAAGCCTCGTCTGGGGAGCCTGGTCCCAGTGGAGGTATCCGACCCTCCAATCCAGACCGGGGAAGGGGAAGAAGAGGAGAGGGAGGGGGCAACGGAGGCCTCCTCGGACCTGGAGCAGGTCAACGTGTGGCGGACGCGGCTGTGCTGCCAACACCTGCGCTGTTGTTGTGAGCGGGAGAACTGCCGTTTTAGTCACGACCCGGACGACGGCAAGCGACCGTGCTCGTTGAAGAATCATTGCACCCGCGGACACGCGTCGCGGTGGAGCACCTCCGCAGTGGAGGAAATCCAGGAGTCGGAGCAGGACGTCGAGCACGCGTCCAATTACACACACCACTTTCGGCGGAATAGAGGTAGAGGAAGGGGCGCAAGACGCATCTCATAGAAATTATGTATGCTCTTCTTTATCTTTCCTCAGACGCTGCCTTTTGCTTTTTTTTTTTGCGGCATACTCTGCCGCTCTCCTTGTTATCCGTGTTTCTCAGACATCACGCTTAACGAAGAGAGGATGTTGCACAAGGAACCGTATGAACTATATTCATTATACAATCTGCTTTATCGCCAAAAGGATAGGTTGAAACCAACACGCTTGATATCATGAGGTGAGCTAGTAGGAATGATACCGCATCGTAAGAGCGATTCTGTTGGTGAAAGTCGGTCTTATTCAGGCATAAGAGGACGAACAGACATAAGAAAAAAGCTCATTGTTAAGTGATAATAGAGGTAATCACCCGTTTAGGATTAATCTCTCCCACACAATGCGCATGACTGAAAAATGGGTTTAAGTTTGTTAACTGTAGAAACGCCAACTCAAGAAAATCTTAATACGACAATTTGAATTGTCATAAAGAAGTAAATATGTCTACACAGTGTTTCTTTTCAAGGGTTTTTTCACTAGTTTGTAATTTGTATATATATTTTTTTGTTTGGTTCTCTATTATTATTTTTTCTTTTTGCTTTATAAACCCACATTTTCCCCATTAAATTATTAAAATACGTGTGTAATGAAACAGAGAGTAGTATGTTGAAAAAAAAATAAGAGAGTTGGTACCGGAAAAGAACAAAATAAATATCTAATTTGAAATGTTTAGGCGCATTAAGTGAATCCATATATTTATATATATACATAAGGGCAGAAAAAGATATTGCCGTCTTAACCTGTCTCTAGAAAAAAACACTTGATAAAATCAATATCACAAGTAAAGATATTTCTGCGCAGGTTAAACATCTCTGGCTCTCTTACTCGATAATTTATATAAATCCTTTTTTATTATTATTAATTCTCCGTGAGGATGTTTATATTCCTTTATTTCACCTTTAACTTTTGGTCTGTTTCTAGAAAGTTTACCCTTTCTGTTTTTCTTCCTTTTATCACTTTTGGTGACTATTGGCCTTTTAAGCTTACAAGTGAACATTACAGTAATACACCTAGACTATCTAACAAAAACAAAATTATCAATGTCCCTTGCATCATCTGCTGTATTAATTCTATTACTGATATTGACGGCTAGTACAATTAGCTCTGGAGAAGAATATGCCGAAAAGCCATGTCTCGTAGAGTTTCCTCGAAAATTTCAGGTCACGACGGGGACCACCATTCCTATGCGGGATACTCCACCAATTGCACAGAGCGGCGCCATCTACGTCGACGCTGACGCGGGATTGGTGCGTATAGACCAGTTTTACCTGGGTTGGCAGCACAGTTTTCTGGCGGATCTCAAAAAAAAGAGAGCCTATGTGCTTGAGGGTACCTACACCAATGCATCCACCAAAGAATCCAATGGGTTAACCTGCAGAGTTTTCGCTACAAAAGGCGCTATCCAACCTCAATGTGTGCCGGCCTTCTTCGCAACACACGCCGATCAATTCATCGTTCGCGGCGTACCCGTAACGCTCCATACCGGCTTTGATCGTGAGGATGGCTGCTTACTTCAGATTGACTATTACACTTTGGATACATTTTTATTTTCCTCTGGTGAGCTCAACAAATTCACCATCCCCTGGCGCATTGAAACACGAATACGGCCAGGTGCAGAATTGCGAGAGATCACAGGCTCCCCTTTCTTCATGCCAAATTGGCGATACTTTGGCCAGCCGATGTTCGACGAGTTGGCGTTCCCCGCTTCGTCACAGGGATTCAGTAAAGAGCTCTTATCGTGGGTCTCAGAGTATGACGCCGTGACGGTTGATTTTTATAACTTTGTCCCCCACACACCCGATGCTAACATATTTATAGTTCCACAAGAGTGTGCTGAAGCGGAGAGTGTCTGGGATAAAGCAAAAGAATCAACCATATTTGAAGAAGAAAAAGACGAGAGAAGTGGAAAAAGTAATTTACAGATGATCATGGCTCATCGCCTCCTTATCGAGTGGAGTGTCTCTTCAGTGGCGCAACATGCTGATGGCTAGTTGAAATTATTTTTATAGTTAAAAACAACAACTTCAAATTTCACTATGCTTTCTATTTATTCGTTTTTATTTCTTGAAACACAGGAATGCCGCTGAATGTGTGATGGCGCACAGCCCATGGCCTAGAATATTAATTGGTAATACAATGTATATATCTGCTTCTTTTCTTTTGCTAAGTAAACAAAGCGCAGCTGTTTGGATTTAATTTTTAGAAAGCATATCAAAATTGCCGAGCTATTACTCTAGTTGATGATTTTGTCGGTCTCCTTCACATTTTTCCCTTCCATAAGATAGAATAGTGCGCGGGCCCCAATGCTCGGCGTCACCATTATTCCCTTGGCTCCGGCGCATCCATAAAGTTCAGGCACGCCTGTGGGTATAATTGAGGGGTCACGCAACGGGCACAAACAAAAAAAAACTATTAACTTGAATTCCCTGACTCTTCAAAAAGGTATTCTGAAGCTTGTAACACAAGGAGGTGGGGTAAAGTTGTAAAAAAGTATTGATCATCGAAATTTTACCTCATTTCCTCAATGACAGGGTTGGCGTGTTTCCAACAATCCAATATAATGCAACAAAAAAGGTTAAGGAAAATAGTCTTCAAACTCTGTTTTTTTCTCCGTGTATTTTTTTACTACAATATATACTATATACCTTATAAGCACATTTAGACCCCAGTAACGATAACACTTTAAAATAGTGTATATCATTATGCTACTGTGGCTTCATGGATGCTTTCGGACCACTAACAGTTAATAATTTGGTTTAAACAAATATATAGCAATTTAAAGAGTCATGTTACGAATTTTTTCAGGAATGACCCTTTACAAGTAAATCCTTGTTCGGGAAAAATAAATGTTTTTCCACCTTATTACTTGGTTAAGCAAACTTTAGCCATTTTAAGACAAATGGGAAAGCAATCTATTTCTAGGAACTGTATTCCTGTAGATAGTTGCCCCATGAATTATTAGACCTGAAAACCTCACATGGACTAAAATTCGCAATATAATTATCATTTCTGTTAATAATGTAAAAAAAAAGATATTCATATAAGAGATAAAAATTAACATACTAATCAGACTTTTTGCCGATTCCGTAAAAGCAACAAATATTTTCAGATGGCACCACATACTTGCATTCCCTCCAAATTTTGAAAAGGGCCTTCAAAATTGGCGCTTTGTCTTCGACATAAGTGTGACCGAGAATCGGCTTGATATACTTTCGACTTATTTCGATTGCATTGTAAAAAGGTACTTCACTGAAGAGATGATGAACAACATGAGAGTCATTAATGTGATGGAGCCATATACTCAGAACCAAGCCGTAATCACGATCAACCGTAGAAACTGCACCCCGTACAAATGTCCATTCCTCGTGAGTATAATGTGGTATGCGTATGTCAGTGTGCTGTGTATAGGTGATGTAAACAAGCCAGGAGTTGACCCACAGGTACGGGATCCCATACCAGCAAAGGACGTTGAACACACCAAACTTGATGCAGCTCAACAAAATGACGAGAAGAGCACCCACAACTCCCAGGTCGGAGATCACAATATCGTAACCGTCGCCTGGTCGAAAGATTCGTGAGGAGGGCTCGAAGTGGTTGGTGCGCCGACCGTAATCTTGTCCAGTGATGTTAAAAAGCAGGTAGGCAGGCCATCCAAGCAAAAACATGCCAACCATATTCAAACACATCACAAGCGGGCACTCTTCTGTCAGCATGGTAATTTTATCCATTTTATTTGGAACAAACACAGAGTCTTTTGTTAGATGGTTTGTGTGTTTGTGGTGGAGGGCATGCGAGATGCGCCAGCTGTGATACGGTACCAACAGAGCAGAGTGTAATATGAATCCAACTGTATTGTTTAATTTAGGCCGAGGGCTGAAAGCCCGGTGCCCGCATTCATGCGCGAGAACCCACAATGCAGTTCCATTCAACCCTTGTATGAACCAAAAGACATTCCAAATAAGTAATTTCAGTATGGCTGAAATTATTAGTGAGGCAGAGTGTGAAAGAGATGAATCGAGAAACGATGTTAGCATAGACACTGCTGGTAACATAATGCTGGACATCACGTAGTATGTAACGGCGACCTGAATCAGATCAAAAAAAAGGTACGACATACTTCTCATGGTGTCTCGTTTAAAGTATTCCTTTGGTACCTTGTCGCAAATTTTCTGTATTGTAAGTTCTGAAGACGGAATAAACACACTCACATCCTTTTCAGAACCAGCCTTTAATACAGTCTTCATCTTTTGCGATTCTTACGCTAATAACGACAGTTGTTATAGCGAAACTTATAGGAAAAGAAGGTTTCTGTGTTAGATTCGTCTTTTCCTACTTTTCGTATCTCTAAAATTCTAAAAACCATTTCGACAAAGTTTTTTGGTGTGGTATAAAGATGTGAAAACTCTAGACTCATATTTTTGCTATTCATATGGTTACGCACCGTCTAGCAAACTTCCTCCGGGAATACTAATAGGAATCGAAAGATCAAATTAATATGTGCGCCATTTAGTCCTTCAAACTTGTTCATATTTTCCAATGATGCAGCAATAAATTAATTAATGCATTTTCTGTACTTGTGAAAAGAAAAAAAGCGTAAACAAACAGAGAAAACGGTATGATATGACCTAAACACACATAGTCCTCAAAAACTGTAGGAAGAGAAAGAAGCTTTTTGAGAGCTGAGAAGCTTGTGAAAACAACCATTGCCGGGATTATTGACTAATTCTTTCCAGGAACCCTGCTCGACTACTTCACCGTTGTTGATGACAATTATATTGTCAGCCTGCTGAATATAGGAAAGACGGTGCGTGATCATGATAACGGTGGCTGGTTGATTTCTTTTTCGTATCGAATGTTTCCTTAATGCATCTAAAATTTCTTTTTCCGTTGTGAAATCCAAGCCGCTGGTGGATTCATCAAAGAGGTACGCTCCGACTGAATAGCTCTTTTTCATCATGGCACGTGCAATGGCGAGGCATTCCACCTCGCCACCACTGAAAGCGTCGGGGTCAAGCTTGTTTAAGTAACCACGACCACGGTTCTCGACGAAATCTATTGATTTCGAGCGATGAAGAGCTTGTGTAATGGTGTGTTGGTCCGCCTCGAGTAGATTCCCAAGGGCGATGTTATCTCGAATTGTCAAAAAGTCAAAAAAGCGCATATCCGGATCCCCCTGCCAGCAATTCGCCAGGTTCCGCCGGAGCTCACGGACGGCGTAGCGCTCAATCGGAACCCCATTCAGCCGAATCCCCCCGGCCTCGGGCGCGTATACGCGGCTGACGAGAAGCGCGATGGTGGACTTCCCGGCCCCGCTGAGGCCGACGATACCACATAGCGACCCCGCCTCGATCGCGAAGGAGACGTCTTTGAGGGCGAACTCCGTCCGGGCGGGGTAGCGAAACCAGACCTTCTCGAATGCGATCGCCCACGGGCCGCGCGGGGGGGGGCTTTCCCATAGCCGTCAATCGCCGGGGGAGAGGCCGCCAGCCGCGCGAGCAGCCGCAAGCTGGTAGGGA